GGAGGACTGAATAGAAGGAAGAGGAGCTGAGGGGGACTGGGGGAGGACTGAGGAGGAGGATGGAGGACTGAGGAGAAGGATGAGGAGGAGGACTGAGGAGGACTGAGGAGGAAGAGGAGGAGGAGGACCCAGGAGGAGGACCCAGGAGGAGGACCCAGGAGAAGGAGGAGGACTCAGGAGGACTGAGGAGGAGGACTGACGATGACTAAGAAGGAGGAGGACTCAGGAGTACTGAGGAGGATGGCACAGGAGGATGGCTGAGGAGGATGGCTGAGGAGGATGGCTGAGGAGGATGACTGAGGAGGATGACTGAGAGGGAGGAGGAGGACTCAGGAGGAAGAGGACTGGGGAGGATCAGGAAGACCCAGGAGGAGGACCCAGGAGGAGGAGGGGAGGAGGACCCAGGAGGAGGAGGAGGACTCAGGAGGACTGAGGAGGAGGAGTGACGATGACTGAGAAGGAGGAGGACTGAGGAGTACTGAGGAGGATGGCTGAGGAGGATGGCTGAGGAGGATGGCTGAGGAGGATGACTGAGGAGGATGACTTAGGAGAAATGAGAAGGAGGACTGAGGAGGAGGAGGAGGAGGAGGAGGACTGAATAGGAGGAGGAGAAGGAGGGGGACTGGGAGAGGACTGAGGAGGAGGAGGACTGATGAGAAGGATGAGGAGGAGGACTGAGGACCGAGGAGGAAGAGGAGGAGGATGAAGAGGAGGAGGAGGGCCCAGGAGGAGGAGGACTGAGGAGGATGACTGAGAGGGAAGAGGAGGAGGAGGAGGAGGAGGAGGAGGACTCAGGAGGAGGAGGAGGACTGAGGAGGACTGAGAAGGAGGAGGACTGAGGAGGAGGAGGAGGAGGACTGAATAGGAGGAAGAGGAGCTGAGGGGGACTGGGGGAGGACTGAGGAGGAGGATGGAGGACTGAGGAGAAGGATGAGGAGGAGGACTGAGGAGGACTGAGGAGGAAGAGGAGGAGGAGGACCCAGGAGGAGGACCCAGGAGGAGGACTCAGGAGGAGGAGGAGGACTGGGGAGGAGGAGGACTGTTGAGGACTGATGAGGAGGACGAGGACGAGGAGGAGGAGTAGGAGGAGGACTGAGGAGGGGAGGAGGAAGAGGACTGAGGAAGATCAGGAAGACCCAGGAGGAGGTCGAGGAGGAGGACGAGGACGAGGAGGAAGCATCTAAATGTTATTTCCATTTTTGTCCGTTTTTGTCCGCTCTATTTTTTGTCCGTTTTGAAAATATAGGGTACCGAACGGACAAAAAACATGATCCCCCTATAACAGCAAAAATTGAACATTTTATTTAGCAATTTAGGTGTCCATTAATGTCCGCTAATGTCCGTATATGTCCGTCTATGTCCGCCTATGTCCGTCTATGTCCGCCTATGTCCGCCTATGTCCGCCTATGTCCGCCTATGTCCGCCTATGTCCTGTCCTTTTTGGATTCTATGAGACAAGCGGACATAGACGGACGTGACACCCCCCCCAGTAAGGGAGAGGCAAACAAAGGAGGAAGCAGACAAAAGGGGAACTGTAAGTGGAAAAGGATGAGGGAAAGGGGAGATGCAGAGAGGAGAGGCAAATGGAAGGCAGAGATTGAGAGGCGGAGGCAGAGAAGGGGGAGAGGGAAAGGGAAAGTGAGTCAGAGGCGGAGGTGGAAAGGGGAGGCAGATGATGTGGGAGAGTAAGACTAGAGGGAAAGAGAGAAGAGGGAGATTGAGAGTGAAAGGGAGGGATGGAAAGGGAGAGAGCAGTGGAGGGGAGAGTTCAGGGGAAGAGGGAGATGGAACTTAAAGAATTGGTAATTATTAACCTGATTTCAAACAGGCAGAACCCTGGCTGTACATCAGGTGGTGATGATGATGGGAGCAAAGAGGTTCTTGGTCCTGTAGTGTAGCGGATCATGGACATTGATTCCAAGATGCTTTTTGAAAGAGGATGATCTACCAAATACTTACTACTTCTTCAAACACTAATGATTCAATTCAAGCAAGCAATTTTCGATCGTAAATCCTTGTAAAAAACGTTGTTAAGCAAAACTTCCAGATAGTCAGTAAAAAAAGAAGCTGATTATCATAATGGGGTGACAAGTCAATCAAGCCTGACAACTGTATAAAAAGTCATGGAAAGCGGGGACTTAAGACCGGACTACGTCAGTTTAAAATTGACCGTAATCCAGCAGTATTTACAAATACACTTGTAATTCTAATTCGGCAATAAAATAAAACTTAATAAGTATATAAATAGGTATGTTAAATGTCATGTTTAGGTTTCGACAATATTTCGAAGAACCCGACAAGATCAACGGTATACCAGCTATCTGATATTCAAGTAACTTGGTGGACGTCACCGCTCGACTCAGCGTGTGCATTATCATGCTTGCTTCACTTCGTAACGAGATCGTAACAGAGCTTCGAATTGGATCAGGGACAAATTGCCATCGTCAATCAACAAGTAATGGAACATTATGCTGAAAATGAAGAAGCTGGATAATAATTATAACTCGTGCAAGTCCGAAATGGGCCGTGTGCTGCTTCTAGGAAGTACATATGACAGTGCATATCAGCACACTGATGGCTTTCTTAGAGACCTGATGAGTACCAAGCGGAAATCATGATTGCCTGGTAAGCAAGTTCACACTCATTCCGAATGGCGGTAGACTATTACAGCTATACTGCAGCTTACACAGTAGTGCGAATCGCGTCACTGATATCCTCCGAGCATAATTACCAGAATAAATCCTGTACCAATCACAGCTTGGTGACCTGGCTGGATAACAAATGCAAATCTAACTTGCATGTACTTGTTAATTATTTTAAAATGTATCACAAGCTATCATGTAGCGCTCGATTCTGATTCAAATATTTTGGTGAATTCATGCGCGGCGCTTGGTAATCTTAATTGCGAAATGGCAGTCAACTAATTAAAATTTATCATCAGCATTTTACTTAAATAGTTTTTGTTGACAATTTAAAAAATCGCAAAATGAGCGCAGCATTGCTTATTATTAAAAGCTGGAAATCAAAAACTAAACATAAAATTATATTGGTTTTGATAATTAATAAAACGTGTTTTCAGTTTTATGAATTGTAAATTTGCATTTGAAATAAAAATTTAAGTATGCTTGGCTTTAGTTCATTTTTTGTAGCGCGATGCGTTACTGAGCCGCGCCGCGCACTCAATGAGGCTTCTCTGGCTAGATCGGCGAAATGCGCTATTTACTGTGCTACTAACTGTGCCGCGCCGAGCTGCCATGAATTGACATTAGACATCGTCAATTAAGTTCATTTTCTATTGCATTTTTAAATTGATACAAAATATGTTTTAACCTTGAGTTAATGCAAGCAACGCGATTCCCGCGCGCAGACAATATAATGCATTATTTACTGGGCCATGCTCAGCCTGTCATTCCGCCAAATCTTTATAATCAATAATGTTTATGAACATAATAGCCTGGGGTCCCCAGGTAATGCATTATTTGTTTACTTGGTAATCTCAATATAAATATGAGAAACTTGAAAAGAGCGCTGCTCATTGGGATTGGCGTGCCAGGTAAAAATACGTTTACTATTGATTAAAAAATAATGTTTACATTTTAAAAGTTTATTTAAATTTTTTTATAAAAAAAAAACTTTTTCGGCCCTTGCTTTAAAATTTAATATCATATGTTAATTTAATGTTTGCGCCCTTTTGTGTTTATCATTATTCTTCATAGAATTAGTAATAAATGAAATTGGATGACAATCGGATTTTTGCAATTTTGTTTCACATAGCCATATGTCTACGCGTACTGCGGTCGCGCGCTACTGCAAGCGAGAGGGCTCTGGTTAGAGCACCAATTTTGTTTGCTGCATTGTAAATAATTTGGTCTGGTGTAAATGTAATTTTACATATACAGGGGCATATACTAAATACCAACATACTACATGTACATATGCACAGCCGTGCATGCAAGTATATACTGAAGGATACCCTTTTGTGGTAGACGTTAAAAACTAGTGGAGCCGCGGCAAAGTAGCAAAATGCGCGGGCAATTCTAAAATTTATAATGTCGCCGCGCCTCACGTCTTGTATCTTTGTATTATTAGACAACAACTGACAACATCAAATTCACTGTCCATATTTTGTAACAAAATCTAAAATTTCATAATACATGGTGTTGTATATGTTTTAATATCACTATAACTAAAGCGGACAAGCTTTTTATTTTACAACAATATCATTCGGTCTCCTTGTCACTGTAACACTTTAAAAGAAACACGAAGATTGAACAGCGAGACAGAGAATGGACAGTGAGACAGAAATTGAACAGTCAGACAGAGAATGAACACCGAGAAAGATTGAAAGGTAAGACAGGGAATTAACTCTAAAATAGAGAATGAACACTGATGCAGAGATTGAATAATGAGACGGAGAATTAACGTCGAGACAGGAATGAACAGTGATTTAATAGTTAAACAGAGAATGATCACTGAGAAAGAGATTGAATAGTTAAACACATAATGAACGTTGAGACAGATTGAATATTGAGACAGAGAATGAACATTGAGACAGATTGAATAGTCAGACGGAAAATGAATGTCGAGACAGAGAATGAACGCTGAGACAAAGATTGAATAGTTAAACAAGAAAATGAACACTGAGACAGAGATTGAATAGTTAAACAGAGAATGAACGTTGAGACAGATTGAATAGTGAGATGGTGACAGATCGAATAGTTAGACGGAGAATATCATAATATGGTTAGTTTAATATCTAATATCTAAAATGATTGCACGGCTTTTAAAGTAATATATTATCAAACATAATCTTATCTATGTTATCTATATTAGTTTCTTTTGTAAATATAGGATGCCACATCATTGGCGGTATCTGACAGTTTCTTATATAATAATGCACGGACATCATCGTCCATCACGTCAAACTCGGGATCATTAACGAAGGAAGTTATTCTGTTTGAAAGCTCCCGCCAATCTCCTTTATATAATAGTCTATGTCCCGTTTCTTCTTTCTTTTATCCCCATTTCCTCCAACCTCATCATCTTCTACTTCTTCATCCTCGTCTTCTGATGCTGGATAATCGCAGCATTTGTTTACATCTGCATCAGCTGGCCATATCCCAATATCACTTCCTGCAAAAATAATATCGGATTTTATATTTTGACTATTATAAGAATTGGAAGCAAAGCAATAGGGAAAACCTTGCAAACCCTGCGGAGATGTGATTTATGACTCTGATGGCAGAGAGTGATAACCCACTTTAACAGACAAAATTATCTTTGTCTTTCCAACCCTGATAACAACCAGAGTCCACACGGATACCTCGCCTCGGAGGTCGAAGTAATGCCCTGCCTTTGATATTGATAATAATATTTACTGTAGGAAACTTCATATTTTCTCTACAAGCAGGCTCCACACCTCCTACATCGACGCGGACGCACGGCCATAGCACATGAACGAGTTATGAACCTCAATTTTGTCTTGTCTATTCAAATTGGAATGTAAACATGCATACAGATCAATTTAACAGACCTTTATCTTTTACGAAGAACGGTATGTTTCTGTAATCTTCAGGTTGGTCCTCCCATTTCATTAAACCATCATCGATAGATTGAAAAATATGTCTGCAGGGGATGTGAGTCCTGCTGAAGTTTCTGCAGGTGCAAGTTGGTCCTCTGATGTTCAGTTGGTGGGGCTCAGACTGGTGAGAGGATTTCACATGGAATACTCCATCAACGACCTTGCACACTTTGCTTGACCGTTTACCTTCTAAAATTACTGGCTGTTATTCAAAAAATCAAACCAAGAGAGAACACATAATATTTTGTCGCTTTATAATTCAAATTATTACTACAAAAAAATACTCGATTCTCCAGAAATTTGCCTTGCACATATAATGTAGTAAGGAGAATAACTACTGAGCTAAATATAGAGTAACACTGACGAAGACAGAGAGTACTTACTGTTCTCAGGAGAAGGAAACCCTTGGTCTACTGTTTTGAAGAGAACTAGTGCGTTACTACTTGTCACTTGTCAGAGAGTTAATACTGAGTGGAACAATAACTGCTGAGAGAAATGTAGAGTAACACTGATGAAGACAGAGAGTTAATACTGAGTGGGAGAATAACTACTGAGAGAAATGTAGAGTTACACTGATGAAGACAGAGAGTTGATACTGAGTCGGAGAATAATTACTGAGGGAAATGTCTAGAGTAACACTGATGAAGACAGAGAGTTACCACTAAATGAGAGAGTAACTACTGAGGGAAATGTAGATTAACACTGATGAAGGCAGAGAGTTAATACTGAGTGGGAGAATAACTACTGAAGGAATGTCTAGAGTAACACTGATGAAGATATAGAGTTAACACTGAGTGGAAAAGTAACTACTGAGGGAAATATAGAGTAACACTGACGAAGACAGAGAGTTAATACTTTAATACTGTGTGGGAGAATAACTTCTGAAGGAAATGTCTAGAGTAATACTGATGAAGATAGAGAGTTAACACTGATTGGGAGAATAACTACTGAGGGAAATATAGAGTAACACTGACGAAGGCAGAGAGTTAATACTGAGTGGAAGAATAACTGCTGAGAGAAATGTAGAGTAACACTGATGAAGACAGAGAGTTAATACTGAGTGGGAGAATAACTACTGAGAGAAATGTAGAGTTACACTGATGAAGACAGAGAGTTGATACTGAGTGGGAGAATAATTACTGAGGGAAATGTCTAGAGTAACATTGATGAAGACAGAGATTTAACACTGAGTGGGAGAATAACTACTGAGGGAAATGTAGAATAACACTGATGAAGACAGAGAGTTGATACTGAGCGGAAGAATAACTACTGAGCGAAATGTAGAGTAACACTGACGAAGACAGAGAGTTAATACTGAGTGGGAGAATAACTTCTGAAGGAAATGTCTAGAGTAACACTGATGAAGACAGAGTATATATATTATACAGCCGTTGTCAGACCTTCTCTGACATACGCTGCGACAATCTGGCTCAATGGTGTGTCCAAAAAACATAACCTAACAATCCTTAGCAGTGTACAGCGGCTGGGGAACATCCTCATAACAGGAGGGTTACCATCGACTCCTGGAGCAGCACTAGACATCATCACCGGAATCATCCCTATTGATCTGGTGATGGAAGAGGAAGCAGCAGAGCTCTCAGACTCAAATCCAACAACCAGTGGATATATGAGCCGATGGTAAACAAGAAGGGCAACCTAACCACCCACACAAAACTTAATGAACAGTTACTAAAGGCTATCAGTCTCAACTCTGAAGGACAAGATCAACAGACAACATCACTGAATGTTGACATTGGTTTCAACACAGAAATTCCCCGACTCTCTGAGTATGAGGTAATCGAGAATGACACCAATACTATACAATGTTACACAGACGGCTCCAAAATGAATGAAAAAGTTGGAGCAGGAGTGTACATTGTGGACAACGACAACCCCACATGTGAGGAGTCATACCACCTAGGAATCAACTCAACCGTCTTCCAGGCCGAAACCTTTGCCGTAGGCACTGCGGCAAAAATATTACGGGAATCTGGGACCAAAACTAGAAAAATAAACATAAACTGCGATAGCCAGGCGACAATAATGGCAATGAGCAACATCAAAGTCAAATCTAAAAGCACCAGCACGGCTATAAGTGAGCTCAACCAACTAGCAATGGACAATCAAGTCCTACTACGATGGATACCAGCTCACAAAGGCTACGATGGCAACGAAAAGGCAGACTCTCTTGCCAAAAAAGGCTCCGACAATCTGGACTCCGCTCAAGTGCAACTACCAATACCAAAAGTATTATGGAAGGGAGCACTGCGGAGTATAAGTCATCGGAAGATGAGGGAAAGATGGAGAACTTTACCCCACACTCACTTTAAACGAGTATGGAGACAAAAGTTCGCCAGATCAATCCCGAAACTTGGCAAAGAGAGCACAAGAACAGCAACACAATTCCTCACGGGACATTGTGAACTAAACTACCACATCAATAAGTACAAGCCGACAACGGTCCCTAAAACCTGTCCACACTGTCTCATGAAAGAGGAGACAATGAACCACTTTATTGGTCAGTGCCCGAAATGGTCTTACCAGCGAGGAGGATACTTTGACTCCTTCTACCTCAGTGTGACAGATATAGTGGACAAGTTCTCATTACCAAGGATCATCGGCTTCATACAAGCAACAAAACGTTTTACCAAATGTGGAGAGGACAAGGCTTAACCTTGCTTTCTTCACAGATTAACTGTACCGGGGTAAGCACAGGGCTTCAATGCTCCATCTTATAGTGGTTTTGATCTATTCCTTAGTAGTAAAGACCACTGCCCTCTACGAAGAAGAAGATGAAGACAGAGAGTTAATACTGAGTGGGAGAATAACTACTGAGCTAAATATAGAGTAACACTGACGAAGACATAGAGTTAATACTGAGTGGAAGAATAACTGCTGAGAGAAATGTAGAGTAACACTGATGAAGACAGAGAGTTAATACTGAGTGGGAGAATAACTACTGAGAGAAATGTAGAGTTACACTGATGAAGACAGAGAGTTGATACTGAGTGGGAGAATAATTACTGAGGGAAATGTCTAGAGTAACACTGATGAAGACAGAGATTTGACACTGAGTGGGAGAATAACTACTGAGGGAAATGTAGAATAACACTGATGAAGACAGAGAGTTGATACTAAGTGGGAACTGGGAGAATAACTACTGAGCGAAATGTAGAGTAACACTGACGAAGACAGAGAGTTAATACTGAGTGGGAGAATAACTACTGAGGGAAATTTAGAGTAATACTGACGAAGACAGAGAGTTAATACTGAGTGGGAGAATAACTACTGAGCAAAATATAGAGTAACACTGACGAAGACAGAGAGTTAACTCTCAGTGTGAGAGTAACTACTGAGGTAAATATAGAGTAACACTGACAAAGACAGAGAGTTAATACTGAGTGGGAGAATAACTAAGTTGAGAGAAATGTAGAGTAACACTGATGACGACAGAGAGTTAAATCTGAGTGGAAGAGTAACTACTGAGAGAAATGTAGAGTTACACTGATGAAGACAGAGAGTTAATACTGAGTGGGAGGGTAGCTACTGAGGGAAATAAAGAGTAACACTGACGAAGACAGAGAGTTAATACTGAGTGGAAGAATAACTGCTGAGAGAAATGTAGAGAAACACTGATGAAGACAGAGAGTTGATACTGAGTGGGAGAATAACTACTGAGAGAAATGTAGAGTTACACTGATGAAGACAGAGAGTTAATACTGAGTGGGAGAGTAATTACTGAGAGAAATGTAGAGTAACACTGATGAAGACAGAGAGTGAACAATGAGTAGGGGGACATAAAATATGAAGTGCATGATTGTTGAATTACTCACACTGTAAGTTTGATGTTATTCGATGAACCAACAAATCTCACATAGGCACAGAATTTAGTGATCGTTTCATCGTTTGCAACACCAATAAAAACCTGAAAAATGGAAGTAATGATGTATTATATAATTATGTAGGGGACAAGGTTACAACGAAACAGAACATCTTACAATCATCAAAAAGCGAGAATTTTATATCAAGATTAATATACAATGTAATATATTATATTTTATGTAATATATTAATATTATTATATAAAGGATCATAGCAAGTATGTTGAACCTGATCATAACAATTTGAGGTTTCAATACTTACGTCTTACATACCTAAAGCCAGTCAATATCTGTTTCAATGTTTCTATCATGGCAGTCCAGAGTAACTATAGCTGTATTCTCTTGCATGTTTAGGCAGAAGGAAGTCACTGACGAAACGTATGCATTCAGCATTGCACAACTTGCAATGCACCTATTATGTTGGTAACCGTTGATGCTGTCTGCCAATTCATCACAGCAGATGAAAAAGCACTCGAAACAACGACCATGTAGCTCTTTCAAATTCAAGCTGTATAACTATAGTCTATAATCTTTGGGACGAGTGTTTGCCCACCGGGGATCCAAAAATATGATTATCATGGACATTACTTTGACACATAAACTAATCAAACGACTTGAATGATTCCAGAAAATTTTACTAACTGCATTTAGCTAGTTTATAGTAAATACACACGATCGCAGAATAGAGGAGCACAATTGGGTTCTTTGTTCTGCGACTGTGTTTCCTCGGTGGGCCGACAGGTTTTTGTTGTGTAGTAGTGCTGGGGAAAAAAAAAAAAAAAAAACGCTTTAACTATCAATGAGAGCACAAATTTTTAATTCTTGACCTTAGTGCCACAGTTTCTGTGGTAAAAACAAATTTATAGTTAAACGTTATATAATGTAGAAGGGCATGATTTACTCACATCACTAAGCATCTGGATGGATAATTAGCACACAAGGATAAACTGACCTTTAAACATGACCACCAACTATACCACGTAACCATAGCTCCGAAATAAATAAATTGCTCTACATAGAAACATCTGGCCTGATCCTATCACATTGTGGTCCCCAGGGGTTCGGTAAAGCCCTTACAGGCAACTGGGTCCTTTTACCAGCCACAATAAAATTGGTCATGCCAGTACTGTCATAAACTGTAACCAACTATTTAAAAATTAGACATCTTTAGCTAAATTTTAAATTTTAAGTCATAGAGCAATCTTCTTAATTTTAAAATTTTTAAGAATTATATTTTACCCTAACTATGATGTGGTGGCATTTCATACTTAACTAAATTTCAACTTTGAAAGTAAATAGATTATTAGTGACAACAAATTATAGTTTAAGACATCCATTCTGCATTGTGTTTCCAATATTAGAATTTATGATATGTATTGATTGAATAATTGGTAATAAATTTAACTTTTGTTTTATTAACTTTTGTTTTATTATAATGCATATTATAATATGATCTAATGATGCAGGCGAAGCTAGGTCAGGAACGCAGCAATGTGAACCGACGAAACCGGAAACAGGTAACCAAAGATCTCTGAATTCTCTGGTCCATTATTCAGTTCTGATGTTTCACACACATACCTAAAATGAAGTAAATGTTATGAACAGTTATTTTTAAAAGAATACTAACTTGTATTATTTTTCTTCCCAATATAATGATATATACCAGTAGTTTGGCAGTCCAATATATTTTCTTATATAAGATAACTGTATCGAGTGTACTTCTATATATAACAAGAATCAGCTCTACAGAAGAGAATTGGAGTTGCTAAAAATAGCAAAAAAAACAAATACATCTAAGTTGAGGTCAAACACAATGAAAAGTTTTCCAATGTGAAATTAATAGACACATTTCCAATGGGAGTTTTTTAGAGGGTGAGACCTTTTTTAAATAAATTCAATGTCTAAAACAGAATTGCATATACTGCATAGGCTCAATAAAATGTGACCTCCAGATCAGTAAAATTAGGGGCACTGGGAGACCTGCATAGAGTCCACTAGTATTTAATATTAGCCTGTACTGGCTCAATAAAATGTGACCTCCAGATCAGTAAAATTAGGGGCACTGGGAGACCTGCATAGAGTCCACTAGTATTTAATATTAGCCTGTACAGGCTCAATAAAATGTGACCTCCAGATCAGTAAAATTAGGGGCACTGGGAGACCTGCATAGAGTCCACTAGTATTTAATATTAGCCTGTACTGGCTCAATAAAATGTGACCTCCAGATCAGTAAAATTAGGGGCACTGGGAGACCTCCATAGAGTCCACTAGTATTTAATATTAGCCTGTACTGGCTCAATAAAATGTGACCTCCAGATCAGTAAAATTAGGGGCACTGGGAGACCTGCATAGAGTCCACTAGTATTTAATATTAGCCTGTACTGGCTCAATAAAATGTGACCTCCAGATCAGTAAAATTAGGGGCGCTGGGAGACCTGCATAGAGTCCACTAGTATTTAATATTAGCCCCCTTTTGTAGCGCGATGCACTACTGGGTCGCGCGCGCATCAAATAATGCTTCTCGCAACCATAAGCAGATCGGCGAGATGCGAAGGATTGACATCGTCAATCAAGATACCCTTAAAATATTTTAATATTTTGCCTTGAACCCTCCTTGATTACCTAATACTCACACCACTTGTATTAGGTATAATGGGTTTTCGTATCTGCTCTGTTCAATATAATGGTTGTGGCAACTGATACTCAATAGGAAAAGAATAAGATAATAATTGCTCTTAGAGGAGAAAGAGGAATAAAAAGCGGTAGTAAAGTTAAAATATCAGTGAAACAAATTTTTAGTGAAACAAATTTAAAATTTTATCCTTTATTTTACAATCATAATATAATAATATTTATAAGCCTCCGTTTTGAAAGTTTTAAATTTTAATACATTCACATTTCTATTTAAAATTCAATTTTATGTACAAGTCAATAACTGGCTGCCAAAGCCGCGCATTCTTGAAAACAGGATTAACTTGATTATAGTTATACGACTATGTAAATTTAAAACTATCCGTGGTTTTTTCTTTTAAATAAATAAGTTATAATTTTACCTAAGTCCAAAGCCAGCTTTAAAAAATTTACTATTAAATCATAATATATCGTCAACTTTAAATATTTACAATGCAACAATTCATTAATCTGTAAACACGCGTACTCCAGCCCCTAAACGCATAAATTGTTATGCGGTGCGGCTCAAGCCGCGCACGCACGTATTATTTTATACTGTTTGCTTTCTAATAAATATCGTGCCAATGTGTACGTCTAAATTGTAAACGTTCATGTTTTGTGTAAAGTGAATCCAATTGGGACTAGTGACAAGGATAAGGACCCAAGTGCCTGTACGGCTTTTTCGGACCCCTGTCGACCACTACTCTTGAAATCACTCTACAACATTGAACATCTATATCTACTACGTCATTTGGCAATTATTGTCATTAATCTAACTTTCTAATTAATTGCCGAGGGGGAAGAGTAAACGCTTCACATTAAAATTCAATATACAAAATTCAAAACCATCAATACGGTATTAAATATTATGGACAAATCTATAGATCTATTTCGTAGTCATATATTCACATGATTTGCTTTATATTATCTTAATACTGTAATGAAGTACAGTAGGATTTATGTTTCGAGAAAGAAAGGTTGCGGTCAAATTATTAACAAAAGTCCATCAGGGACTCCGTGGAGTCGAAAAAGGTACACGGCCGCTGTCTGGTGCTGCTAGGCATTTATTGATCAAGATGTTTTATTGTATTGATTTATAATGATTCTATTGTTCGTGACTAATCAAGTTCTAAGTGGAGGTATAAAGTGCTGCTTAAGATACTTCGTCATCTCATGTCCAGTATAATGATTAAGATAGTATACAATACAGTTTCAGTAGTTGACCCATACAGTTAAGTCCGTCATAACTCACAATCGTTAAGTCGTCTGTCAATTGTCAAAGTCGTTGTGTGTTTATTCGTTGAGATAGCAGTAAGATAAGATGTTACACGCGCGCGCGTTCAATCCCGTCGACGTGAGATGTGACAATGAAAACGCCATAGAATTATTATTTTCGCGCGTTACGTAGAGTTTACCAGTGTGTAATACTAGTCATTTATATCTTATATTTTATATTTTGTATCTCTTACTACGTAACGCGAAAATAAGTTGTATCACACTCCCGGTTTTGGACCCCAATGTTAACCTTGCAGCAACTGTGTCAGCCCAATATACTCTAGAAGTAAGATCACACCTATTTTAATGAACAAGAGACCCATAATTAATATAATCAGATACTCATCAACAGCAGCAGTTTCCGTCCGTGTGATGTGTTGTCCTTCTCCTTTCTGTGTCCCTGTCGTTTTGTTTTGTGAAATGTATAGTAGTGGTGTTTTAATATTTAAATCGAACGTAACTCAATAGTTAATAATATATAACAAACACAAATACTATTTTAAATAATTGATTAATATCGATTTATACCAACAACCAAACATTAATTATTCTTTAATAACCTTTTATATATGTGTTAAACGATCCATGGCATATCTAAAATTCGATAATGAACTTCATATTATTAGTGCCGCGTGCTGATAAATATTCTGGGAATCAATCCACCCAATCGTGGCGATAACATATTTTTGTGCTTGGCCGGTTTTAGGTTTGGGTTTGTGCTCCAAAAGTGGTAAATCGGGTGCTAGTAAAGCTCTTGCAGCCAACTGGCTCCTTTTGCCAACTGCTTTTGGTTTAAGCGCTGACTCACATTTGGAACTGGCACGGGTATAATTGTAATATCCTACGAAGTCAGCATGTCATATTATTTTGCAAAACTCGTTTAAATATCTTGACAATATTTACAATTTATAAAGTTTATGGTTTTAGGTTTAGGCGCGGCGCACCGCTTATATGTTATAGCTCAATCATCTTCTATTTGCAGCGCTGTGTTGCTACACGCTGTATAACATGTGGACCCAGCGCGGTGCCGCGCCTAAGCAGCAAAAGAGTTATTTATTTTAAAATTTATTTTTGTATCTAGCAAAAATGATGTAATGTTTTTATTATGACGTAAAATGTAAAATTAAAGCTATTTCCGTACAGCCTAAGTATGCTCGTTAGAAAAACTATCAACAATGAACATGCTGATATCTGGATATTATCCGGTTGGAAGAGACAAGGACAAGTGAAACAAGGAAGTTAGGAGTAAGGGCAAATTTTCGGCGTCAACGCCATCTTCAGGCTCAAATTATTTGTTATATAGTAGTGTTGAAAGTATTAAAACAGTTTTAATACTTTCAACACTACTATATAACTAGGGGTGGGCACGGATAGCAATATTTTTGGGTGAATTTTTAAACGGCCCTGTTTTTTGGGTAAAGGGACCTCCAAAATGAAAAAATAACTTGGTTTGGGGTCAAAAAAGCCCAAAATAAATATTTCCCGCCCCGTTTTCGGTTAGCGGGAGGGTCATTTTTGACGTTTTTGACTAAAATTGGCTTTATTTAATTCATTTTCACCTTTTACACCTCATTGTTACCCATGATTGTGAATCATTATTGACAAACCAGGTAGGGTGAATGATTTCAGCCATCTAAAAATTTTCTGAAGACCCCCAGGGTACCCGTATCCATGGAAACGGGTCGTTTTGAAAAAAAAAATTAAGCGAAATCAGCCAAAATGTTTGTTTTTACCCCTTTTTGCCATTCTAAAACTTTTAACATGGCCAAAAGTATCCAGAAAGTCCATAATTGTACATTGTAACTTGTATGTCAACTATAAAAGGTATAAAAACATGATGTTATGTGTTTTAGTGGTATTTTGGGCCTTAGCAACGCCTAGCAACGGGGCGTTTTAGGCATTTTAGAGGTTAATACATGTCATTTTAATATCTTACACTCTATTGTTACTAATGAATGTTGATTATTATTAACATACCAGGTAGGGTTGATGATTTCAAGCTTCCAGAGCTCATCTGGAGGCATATTGGGTGCCCGTAACCATGGAAACTCGTCTTTTTTACGAAAAATTGAGATTTCGGTGAAAATTAGGGTTTTTTATAACTTTATCCATAAATATTATACTAGTTATCCTTTATAAACCCTATGACAGTTGTGTATTGGGAGATAAAATGGTAACTAATGTCTAACACTTCAGGGAGATAAGTTTTCCCACTATTTAGGCCCCTAGCAACCCATAGCAACGACGATTTACATGCAAAATAAGGCATAAAATACCACTATTTGACCCAAAACTGCTGAAAATTGACCTGGGTCATGGTAACAACGGTTTGAAACAGTGATTACAATTAAACTATTGATGTTAGGGTTCCTCACTATGTAGGCCCCTAGCAACCCATAGTAACACCTAGTTACGTGAGTCTTGGTCGTACCTTCAATACCGATTGTCTGTAAGCTGGTGTGAGTGCCTTTCCTAACTTGCCAAATCCTGGCAAATCCAGTAACGTGTAGATCCTTTAACAGAACTAATGAAAGTTATGGTTGCAATTAAACTATTGATGTTAGGGTTCCTCACTATGTAGGCCCCTAGCAACCCATAGCAACACCTAGTTACGTGAGTCTTGGTCGTACCTTCAATACCGATTGTCTGTAAGCTGGTGTGAGTGCCTTTCCTAACTTGCCAAATCCTGGCAAATCCAGTAACGTGTAGATCCTTTAACAGAACTCATGAAAGTTATGGTTGCAATTAAACTATTGATGTTAGGGTTCCTCACTATGTAGGCCCCTAGCAACCCATAGCAACACCTAGTTACGCGAGTCTTGGTCGTACCTTCAATACCGATTGTCTGTAAGGTGTGAGTGCCTTTCCTAACTTGCCAAATCCTGGCAAATCCAGTAACGTGTAGATCCTTTAACAGAACTCATGAAAGTTATGGTTGCAATTGAACTATTGATGTTAGGGTTCCTCACTATGTAGGGCATAGGCCCATAGCAACCAATAGCAGCACCTAGTTACGTGACACGAGTAAAAACTAGAATGTCAAATTTTCAACAATTGTTAAATTTTATGTTACAATATCAAATAAACTATTTTAGAACTTGACTTTAATTGCTTTCAATCGAAATTTGAAATTAAAAGTCTTAACTTTTGACCATTTTTGAACATCGTCATGGTTAACAAAATCAAATATGACAAAATGGACCGTATTCATTTGTGAGACCTCCAGTCTTGGTCGTACCTTCAATACTGATTGTCTCTGTAAGGTCTGGGTGCCTTTCCTAGCTGGCCAAATCCTGGCAAATCCAGTAACGTGTAGATCCTTTAACATAACTCATGAAAGTTATGGTTGCAGAATCCCCATTCACACTGAGGATACATCTTACCCAGGGGAGTCCCCTGGGTAAGATGTATCCTCAAACAGCCCTATTACACAGTTGTTCTTCTTACATGGCAAACTCTCATCAGTATTACCAAACTGAACTTGGTCTGGATTACCATGACCAATAGAATGGGGCTGTAAGGGTTCTCACTGCTCTTCAACAACTCTGGGGCTTTTCTGATACCGGTTTAGCTAGCCAATTGTTTAAACAAGATCTTGTAGAACGTGTGAAGCTTTACATTTTGTAATAACTTCCACCACCTTGGTTTCTTCACACAGCAAGTCAGCTTCCTGCTGGAACACACTCTTGAGTGACTGCTTCTGTTCCCCTTCAAATTTGAATGTCTTAAAATGTAACTTACAAACATCGACCTCGTAAGGATGGTCTTCTGATCGAATTGATACAGCCAGTATGACTGGAGGAAAGGAGGGCACGAACGAAAATCAAGCGATGTCAAATCCTTTGGGTAAGTTAATAGGTCATGATATAGGCCAGGAAGGATATTAAGTAGACGATCTGGAGGCTGCTATCATTGGCTATCAGGGTAAAAGTATTGCCCCAGTAAATGTAGAGGATCTCCCAGTTACCAAGTCAAGCCCCAGAGTTGTTGAAGAGCAGTTAGAACCCTTACAGCCCCATTCTATTGGTCATGGTAATCCAGACCAAGTTCAGTTTGGTAATACTGATGAGAGTTTGCCATGTAATAAGAACCACTGTGTAATAGGGCTGTTTGAGGATACATCTTACCCAAGGGAGGTCCTCAGTGTGAATGGGGATTCTGCAACCATAACTTTCATGAGTTTTGTTAAAGGATCTACACGTTACTGGATTTGCCAGGATTTGGCAAGTTAGGAAAGGCACTCACACCTTACAGACAATCGGTACTGATATGAAGGTACGACCAAGACTCACGTAACTAGGTGTTGCTATGGGTTGCTAGGGGCCTTCATAGTGAGGAACCCTAACATCAATAGTTTAATTGTAATCACTGTTTCAAACCGTTGTTACCATGACCCAGGTCAATTTTCAGCAGTTTTGGGTCAAATAGTGGTATTTTATGCCTTATTTTGCATGTAAATCGTCGTTGCTATGGGTTGCTAGGGGCCTAAATAGTGGGAAAACTTATCTCCCTGAAGTGTTAGACATTAGTTACCATTTTATCTCCCAATACACAACTGTCATAGGGTTTATAAAGGATAACTAGTATAATATTTATGGATAAAGTTATAAAAAACCCTAATTTTCACCGAAATCTCAATTTTTCGTAAAAAAGACGAGTTTCCATGGTTACGGGCACCCAATATGCCTCCAGATGAGCTCTGGAAGCTTGAAATCATCAACCCTACCTGGTATGTTAATAATAATCAACATTCATTAGTAACAATAGAGTGTAAGATATTAAAATGACATGTATTAACCTCTAAAATGCCTAAAACGCCCCGTTGCTAGGCGTTGCTAAGGCCCAAAAATACCACTAAAACACCTAACATCATGTTTTTATACCTTTTATAGTTGACATACAAGTTACAATATACAATTATGGTCTTTCTGGATACTTTTGGCCATGTTAAAAGTCTTTGAATGGCAAAAAGGGGTAAAAACAAACATTTTGGCTGATTTCGCTTAAATGTTTTCAAAACGACCCGTTTCCATGGATACGGGCACCCTGGGGGTCTTCAGAAAATTTTTAGATGGCTGAAATCATTCACCCTACCTGGTTTGTCAATAATCATTCACAATCATGGGTAACAATGAGGTGTAAAAGGTGAAAATGAATTAAATAAAGCCAATTTTAGTCAAAAACGTCAAAAATGACCCTCCCGCTAACCGAAAACGGGGCGGGAAATATTTATTTTGGGCTTTTTTGACCCTAAACCAAGTTATTTTTTCATTTTGGAGGTCCCTTTACCCAAAAAACAGGGCCGTTTAAAAATTTGGAAAATTTGCATTTTCGTGCCCACCCCTAATATAACAAATAATTTGAGCCTGAAGATGGCGTTGACGCCGAAAATTTGCCCTTACTCCTAACTTCCTTGTTTCACTTGTCCTTGTCTCTTCCAACCGGATAATATCCAGATATCAGTATTTCAATCATGAGACTAATAAACAGCGAACTACTCCGTTATTTGAACAATGAACATGCTAGCTTTCTTTATTTTTGTAAGTCGCGTCGGCTGACATCTTGGGTTGTACTGGATGTAGTACAAGTTTATTATCGGATGTCTACTTATATTTATTATGATATTATTATTCATTGTAATGGCAATAAAATTTAAATTTTGTTTTACTTAGTTAACACTGGGTGTACACTGAGTGTAAGTGTAAGTTTCATATACAAGCCGTTGAATATTTCCAATTTTGAGTGTATCGTGAGCATGTTTTACAGTGCGATTGCTCGGTACTAGTGTGTTTGTGTATATATTATATATATATCATTTGTGGAGTATGGTGTAAGTAATGTTTTTGGTTGGAGTGCAGTGGTTGTATGTATGAGAAAAGATATATGGTCATTTTAGTAACTCACAAAAATCAGAACTTGAGCTCATTTGTGGCAAAATGAAGCTCACACAAATCAAGTGTATCATGCTTGAATTGCAATTCTCGTAAGGCAATTTTCAATATATTCTTAAACCCGTTTGTCGGAGTATTAAAACTTATCTTACTTGATGTTTGTCGACAGCTGTTCCACATGTAGGATGATTGGTAGATGAATTGTGAGGATGGTTGTGATGTAATGAAATAATCCTCTCGTCGTGGTGACCTGTTAAATGATGAGTACAGTGATAATGGTTCCTCTAACTTATTAATTTTGAATAGTTCTAAGAGACAAGTGTACTTGTACAGATTGTGGACCGTTAACAACCTGTGGGTTTTAAACAAGGGCTTGGAGTGTTCTTTTTGGTAAAAGTCCACCCCCAGTCTTTGCTT